ACAGGGCTTCTCATACCTCCGTACTCCTGGGAGCTGAGCAGGGTCTTCCTAACCCAACCACATTTTTTTTTTGATGCAGGGTCAGGGTCTCACTATACAGTTCAGACACAAAGTGATACTCCAGTCTCAGCCTCCCTAGTACTAGGACCATAGGCATGTGCTACCATGCCCGGTTCTGAGATCAGCATGGCATGAGGTACTGGGGATCAAACTTGGGACCTTGTGCTTGCCAGGCAGGTACTTATGCCACCGAGCTATATCCCCAGCCCCCAACCACACCTTCTACCACCTGAAGCATACCTAGGTACATCACAAGGCAAAAAAAAAAAAAAAAAAAAAAAAAAAAACTACTCCCCAGATACAGGGAACAGGGAAAAAGGAATATATAGAGATTATAGATGCTGGATGAAAAGCAAGTTCTGAAATCAAGGGGGCTGGAGTTTCCCTTACTGCTGGGTGACCTTGACCAAGTCTGTCACCACTGTGGTGCTCAGTTTCCTTGTAAGAAAAATAAGGATCATCACAGCACGGCCACAAGGGTTCAGTGAGGCAGCTCAGGGGAAGTGCTGAGGAACGTGCATGGCATGGGACCTTCTACCCAGAGGTGGCCTCTAGTACTGACTGTTATTTCACACAGCAGTTACACCAGTGCTCCTCAAGGGGAGAAGACCCAGGACAGATGATGCATCCTGAAGTTCACCAAAGAGGGAGACTCATCCTTTCTAGTCAAATAGGGAGGCCTATGTTAAAATCTTTTTTTAAGAAAACTCCTAAGCCCCGTTTCAACTACAGGTTGAACATCCCTGATCCAAAAGCAGAAGCACTCCAGAGTGTGAACCCTCTTGAACACTGATGTGACGCTATGGGTGGAAAATTCCACAGCTGACTTCCTCTGGCAAGTGACAATGAAACTGTAGGTGCACTAAAAACATGGGATAAGACTGTCTTCAGACTATGTGTATATGGTATAGATGAGCCATAAATGAATGTCATATTTAGTCCTGCGTCCCACTCACAAATATCTCATTTTGTAGGAGGTGTGATTGGAAAATATGGTGAATGTTTACCTTTTTAACAATTTCTTCAGCACTCAGAAGGCTGAGGCAGGAGGATCATTATGAGTTTGAGACCAGCCTGGGCTACAAAGTGAGTTCAAAGCCTACCTGAAATTAATAGCAAGACCCTGTCTCCAAAAAAAAGTTATTACAGTAAAAGACACATTGCCGAAACAGCCTCAGAATGATCCCCCTCATTTCTAACACATTGAGCCTATCATTCTTGCTAGTTGCTGTAGTTTGGGAAGAACTTGTTTTGTGTTTAGTTTCTCTGTCATGGCTGCTTCCCCGTCCTGAATGAATCTAAAACATTCACCTTTTTTGTGGTCATTTCGATTTGGGGGAAGAGGCCGAAGTTGCAGGTTGCAGCCCACTAAATGAGGGGGCTGACACACGAGCTTGCCTTTCCAGTGGCTGTCGCTTGGCCGCAGCGGTCTCCACATTTGAATCACACCTCCTGAAGACACTCCCAAAAGAGAACTTCCAGAACTGCTTCAGAAAGTGGCAAGAACGATGAGATAAATGTGTCCCAAGGAAAGGGGAGGATTAGGAGGGAGATTCATGGAAATCTCTTTTTACTGTAATAATTTTTTTAAAATTTAAACATTCACTGTATATTTTGCTCACCCTTAGGCAATATATGCAAATGCTCCAGAATCTCAAAAAACCTGAAATCCCAAAAACATATGGTCCCAAGCATTTCGGATAAGGGATAGTCAACCTGTAATTGTTTTGGTGGAACCAGTGATTAAACTCAGGCCCTTGCGCTTGCCAGGCAAGTGCTTATTCTACTGAGCCATCTCCCTGGCCCCCATATATTGCTTTAAAAAAAAAAACTCCCAGCTCTCACCTGTAGACCAGATAGCTCCGAGCTCCTTCCATGGAAGGAATAGCTGACATCCGTCTTCCCAAGATAGAGAGGGTGAAGGAGCAAGATGTTAGATCTTGCTGATGCTGGGAATCAGTGAGGCTCTCCTCAGCATCTCATTCTCCACAAGCAGCTCAACTTTACCTCTCTCTATACCCATGTATTTTGCCTGAAGAGGTGAACAGCCTGGGAGAGGGCGAGTGGCCAAGAGACTGTGCCCTCTTCTGCTTTCTTTGGCTCCCTGCTCCCTGCGCTCTGTGCCCTGCGCTCTGCGCCTAGTAGTTCTGCAGCCAGGTTGTCTTGAAGCCCCGTATCTCTGCTCTAACATCTGAGAGCCCCAGGACTGGTGGGAAACAGAAACACCTGGAAGAGAAAAGGAGGCTCCTTATAGGCCTGGTAGGTAAGGGCTTCTAAGGCCGCGTTCCATTGGAAAGCGCCGTGAAGAGGAGTCTGCGCTGCTGTTCTTCTCTCCTTGTTGCTGTCTTCCTTAGCCAGTATCCTTGGCCATCCTCTTTGTCCTCCTTGTCCCCACAAGCTGGGTTCTGAAGGGGCTCCTAAATCCAGGCCAAGTTCTCAAATTTAAATTCCTGTTCAGGCAAAGAAGGTAAACTAGAGTAGTGAAGGATACACAGTAACAGGTAGAGAAAAATGTGTGCCCAAACAAGGCTATGTTCCACCTGAAGGGTGCGGCCACTCCCTAACTGCCTCCTGTGCTCTCACTTTTGGGAGGAAACATTTTTCTTTACAAGAAAAAATAGAAATCTTGGAGGGATGTGTGTGTGTGTTATGCAATATATCATCCTTTAAAACACAGAGAAGGTTGTGTTTTCGTAGAGTTGAAATTTGGTCCAAAACGGGGTGTCCTCAGGCCGTCCGATAAGCAGAGCAGGCCTCTTTAATGAACAGTTCAATATCTATCTCCCTGCAAGATGATGTACTCAAAGGGTTTGAAGAAAAGCCTTTATTACTCATTTTTTAAAAAGCAAAACAAAAACATGCTATGTTTGACAAACCCATTCCTGACCTGTTTGCTTGGCCCTCTTGGGTCTTCTGACTTTTCTCTCTGCCTCTGCTCTCCAACATCCTCCTTCAAATGCCCCCAGAGTAGAATGACCTTGACTATAATTTAATACAGAGAGGACAAGAAATTCTTGGGGGGAAATGCTGCAAAAGGGCTAGACAGGTGGGTGGGGTAGACAAGGATTCCTAGAGAAGAAACTGAACCCTCTAGAGACCCACATTACCATAAGGACTTCCATGGTGCTCCCAGGAAGTGACCTTGAACAAGCCCATCAGACTCCGAGCTTCCATTTCCTCACCTGTAACCAGTGAGAGCGGCACTGCCCATCTGCCCGGGTTATTTCAAGAATAATAGGATGTCGAGAAAGCACTTTGGAAAACAAAGAGAGTATTCTAGCAACGTGAGCTGTTTTCCAGTGTGAGGCAGGAGGACATCTGTGTGGACCCCAGGGACCTTGCCCATTATTAGCCAGATTAAACAGGCAGTTCTTCTTCCGCTTGTCACTGCCAACAGCTGCTGCTTCCATGCAGGGTACACAGGGGACCACTGCGAGGACAGAACCCACAGCAGAGGAGAGGTGGCATGATGCTTTAGCACCCCTGGGCAGCCCACCATCGCCGGCTCTGGTGCTCCTGGGTTCTGCCGCCGAGAGATTCCTGAGGCAGGGCAGCCCATTGCAGAGCTGAGCTCATGGGTCACTCTCCACCTTGAAAAGCAACGTTTTCAGAAGTCAGCATCTTTGCTCTTCCGGGTCAATAACCCCCACACACACTTTCATTCTAGAGGGTGAAGAATGATTTTACTCTACTTTCAAGAACATAACTAGTCAGTCTAGGATTGGAAAAGAAAATTCTTAGCACCCATATTTGCTTGCCTCAGTTGCTCCATTCTGAAAAACTGTCCTAGGACCCTCATGGCATCTGCTAGACCAGTGCTTCAGCTCAAAATCAGTTTCCTATGGCACTGCCGAGAGGTGACGGGGAAGACCTAAAGGGCTTAAAAGCACAGCAGAATAGCTCCATGGTGGATGGGACAGCTGATGAGGGCATCAGTGCCACATTAGGGGAGGGAGCCCTCCTCCGTGTGGTGTATGGAATGGGCTGTCTTAAAGAATCAGCAATAGGCATAAAGGGACAAACAGATTTCATTTGTGCCATCACAGAGCTGACGTTCTTGTGCAAGAGGCCGATGGTAAAAAAGAAAATAGCCTTAAATCACAAGGTGAGGAAGGTTCCTGGGAAGGAAACAAACAGCAGCAGTAACAGGCAGTCCTGGGGCTGGGCTGGGTCCTACTGAGACGAGGTGAGCCGAGCAAGCCTCTCAGCAGAAGCAGGGTTTGCAGAGGACAGGAGGAGAAGCTGACCTTGCTGAAAGAAGGCAAAGAGGGGGTTCAGAGGCCCTGACAAGGGCCACCAAGGGGTGGGTTTCTGAGGAAGGGAATGGCCGCTGGTAGAACAGGGGGCTGTGAGCGCAGTGAGATTGCGTACAGAGCATAGGGCCAAGGTGTCATCCTAGGAGGCTGCCCGTCCTCTGTGTGTGTGTGTGTGTAAGAAAGAATCCGTGCGTGTGCACACACACCTACTTTTCTCTGAGAGGATGCCCTATAACTTTTATCAGATTGCCAATGACATCAGTGATCCAAAAGAGTTCTCTAAATCAAAATTGCTCTTGGTAAATCAACTAAAGCTTTGAAACAATTGTGCAAAGTGATTTCTCCTTTTTTTCCTTTTGGCTCCTGCAAGCTCAGAATCCTAAAACAGACAGTGCAGCACACAAGCTGGCATACCAAGGCTTCCTCAGTGCCTGCGGGTGCTCAAGAAGGCTGTAGGTGATAGGCGCATGCAGCAGTGTCCATGGTGACAGGCAGTGGGAAGCCCAAAGGTGCTCAGAGTTCAGATGGGCACAGAAATGTCTCCTTCCATACTGCAGCAGGAGCTCACGGCTGCAAAGCAAAGTACTGCCAGCTCTGCAGCCACGGCCGCTGCTGCACGCACGGCCCCTTCTCTGCTGGTAATTACCAGGATGGTGGACTCACCCAGCTCTGCTCTGCTTGCAGCCTCCTCAATGCCAACAAGATCAACTGCTTGCGCGTGAATACCTTCCAGGACCTGCAGAACCTCAACTTGCTCTCCCTGTATGACAACAAGCTGCAGACCATCAGCAAGGGGCTCTTTGCCCCTCTGCAGTCCATCCAGACGCTGTGAGTACGCCACCCGGGGAAGCCAGACACCTCAGGTTCCCAGCCACATGAACACCTAGATGCAGACACACTGAGCATGTGCCCAAGGAGAGCGTGCAGGGAAAACACACTGATAGGAAGTGGCCCAACATGCCTGTGAGCATGTGGGCGGGGCTCAACACCACCTACCTGCCCTCTTTTAAAACTTTAACTCTCACGTGACCCCATGTGATCAGGTGCTATTTTTATCTCAGTTTCTATGTGAGCTTGTATGTGAGGAAATGTACAGAGAGACAAAGGCACTTACTGAAGGTCACTCAGCTAGCGAGAAGTGGGATTTCGGTCCAAGCACAACCACTACCGCTCCTGTGGTCTGAGTAGGCTGCCTTTCTGCCAATAACCTATTCCCGGACCTTGACACATCTGCAAAACCAAGCCGCAGACAGGCACCCTGGGAATACTTCAGCTTCTTCTTGGGGAAGTATTTTCTCACGCCCACTATGGCAGATGTGTGTTAAGTATTGTGAAAAATAGATGACATCCAAGCGCAGCTCCTCTTAACCCATCTTAAGCTTAGACCCAAAGCCTAGATCAGGAGCCTGGAATTTTCTAGATACCTTATGAATCACCTGGTGCTTTTGCCCCTGTAGCCAGAGCCTGGAAGCAAAACAGAGCAAGAGCAGCCGCTGCCGTACCGGTGTTGCAACCCACGTGCTAAGCTCTCTGTTCAGTGCTTTGCAGAGCTTTTCTTCCTGAGCCAGAGACCCAAGGCCCATGATGCTATTGGGCTGAGGAGAATAACAACAATACCCACTGCTATATACAGAACAGCCACCATATGCCAGTTGCTGAGCCAGCTGCTTTGTGCGCCTGGTGTCACTGAGCTTAGAGAAATAGAAAGCATTTTACCCTAAGTGTAAACCCTAAAGCGCATGACTTGTTTGGCCCATCAGAACTGGTGTGGGTGAGAGTAGAGATGGTCATGGTGGGCCCTGCCCCAAGCAGGGAGAGCTGGGGAGCCTGCTTCCCCGCACCAGATGCTGGCTGCATCTGTGCCTGTCCTTGGCAGCCAGCCAGCAGTAGGCCCTCTTTGAGTCCTGTCTGAAAGGTACACCCTCAGGCCTCTTGGGGGGCACGAGGGAGGGTGCCCTACACTGGGCTGTCAGGGCCCGGCGCCAGGCAGCGTGGTGGTGGTGGAAGGAGGCACCCGGGGTCACTCCTAATTAACAGCCTGTCCCTCTTGCAGCCACTTAGCTCAAAACCCGTTTGTGTGTGACTGCCACTTGAAGTGGCTGGCTGACTACCTCCAGGACAACCCCATCGAGACAAGCGGGGCCCGCTGCAGCAGCCCACGCAGGCTGGCCAACAAGCGCATCAGCCAGATCAAGAGCAAGAAGTTCCGCTGCTCAGGTAATCAGGTTACAGGGGCTGGGCCCCGCTGTCTGACTCAGAAAACAGCAGCCCGAGAGGCCAGTAATCCAATCTGGAGGACAGTGAGCGCCGTAATGGCTCCTGGGGAGCATCTTTGCAAATTAAATTGGGGAAATTCAGTTAGCCCTGCAGAAAACCAATTACCTTATAGATTTAAAATAACACGCACACACACATATACACACATACACCTCTCTCTCTCTCTCTCTCTCTCTCTCTCTCTCTCTCTCTCTCTCTCTCCTCTCTCTCAAAGCATGGGGGATGGGGAGACAGAACCCAGGTAGCAGATTAACCTGGGTTATAGGCAGAAATTAGGAGACCAGGCAGAGTCTTTGTACAAATGCCCTTGAAAAGAGGCAAGGATTTATTTTTTCATTTCCAAAGCATGTCCCCTAAATGGCAGCTAGAGAAATAAATGTAGCAGGGCCAAGCTACAGGCACTAGAGTAATCTGAGTCCCCCAAAAAACAGCCCTGGGACCACAGTGCATACGAGGTTTCACAGACAGCATCACCGGCTCCTCCAGCCAGATGGGCTGCACTCTGACAATAGCAGGTAGCTGGGAGTCTGGGAAGAAGCAAGGCTTGTTCTCCTGTGACCAGGCTGTCTCTAGAAACCTTCCTCACTGCATCTGGGAAAGACATGGGCTAAATGGCAAGGAAATTCTCAGCCGGTCTCCCGAGGAGAGACTTCCTGACTGCTAGCTACGAGAACAGGCAGTTACAAATTGCCGTCATAAGTGTTCCTTCCTACTAGAAAAGTCACCGAGCTGCACCGTGCTCCCAGTGGTAAGAGATGAATAGCATAAGGTGCTAAGATTGGCCAGACCCAACCCTCACAATCTGGATCTCAGCAGGAGCGGAGCTGCTTGCCCTACCCGAGAGCGTATTCTGTGAGTGAGGTTTCCCCAGGAGCGTGCAGCGTGGGCACTGATCCCCTGGACGGGACCAGCAGGCAGACTGCTGCTCCTTGCACCGTGTCCTTAAGTCAGATTCTCCAGTCAGTGTCTCAAGGATGATGATCTTTAGCTATTTTGTTTCATTTTATTTTAGACTATTTTAGCAGAAGCAAATATCCTCAAGATGGCTTACTCACAGGGAATTGGGGCACTTTGCCTTCCCCAAATAGTGATGTTGAATAAGATGGTGATCTGTCACCTCGGCAGAGCAGTGTGCTGAATGTTTCTAGTTTGGCTTCCACTTCCAGTAACCCTTCAAGGTCAGCAGGAAAGGGAGCTGAGGGCTCCAAGCAAAGGTGCACCCCAAGTCACAGTGGCCAAATGGTGGGGGCTGGGCCAGCCCCCGGATCTACCTGCTCCTCAGCACCCTAACACTCACATACCTCACAGCATCGGGAAGGGAGCGTGTAGGAAGGCCTGCTTGGCTGGTTCTCACCCTAGTCTCATGCCTACCTCCATCCCTGGACTTTTTTCTTAGCTTCCTTTCTGGGCCCAGCAGTATCTCTGGGAAGAAAATCTCTGAGCACAAGCTGTATCACAGGGCCACACTCGTCCTTTCACAGGCCCCCTTCTCGTAACCATTAACAGCCTTATTCCATCCACCCAGGGCTGAGTTTGTTAGCGTGGTCAGTTTGTAAAACCCAAGAAAGGGGGCAGTAAGAGTCAGGTGAAGACAAGACACCATCTGCCAACTGTGACCATGAGGCTCACAGGTGTCCTGCCCGTATCTCACCTCTCAGACTGGTGTCAAGGCCCCGAGTGTCAGGGCAAGGATGCATCAACCTAGGGGCCGAGGACTGGCATTTCTGTGGAACGCAGTCTTGGCAGTGGCCTAGGAGTCACTGTGGACTTGGTTTGGCAGCAGCGAGGTAGGAATGATAGGCACAGAAATAACTAAATTGGAAAGTAGAAAGAATAAAGAATAATTTTAACTGTAGCTCTGCCACCGCCTCCCTATCTGCCGTCTACCTACCCACCTCTACACCTGCAGGATCCTGGCTTTTTTTGCTATGTGGGACAGAAGTGGTTACAAAAAAAACAAACAAATAAGGAGAAGGGAAAGGTTCTTGGGTTGACCTTGTCTAGACTACCATTTTTTGAAAACAATGCTAAGCAGAAAGCTTATTCCTACACGGGCAGAGGCGTTTAGAGCTGTAATGAGCCTGACATATGGCGTTCTAGATGCTTTCATGATATGCAGCTGCAGGGAAGAGGTCCAGAGAGCCACCGCTGAGTTCCAGAGGCATTGGCTTTAAGAAACTCCAGGACTCAGACCTGCCTTGGCCTGGAGGGGTACAGAGACTATACACTTAACCCTCTGGCTTTCCGTCTCCCAAAGACAGAAGGAGGGAAGCAATGCATGCTAGAGTTGATGGATAATAACTTGGCATTTTATTTGCCCTAAAGGCACCCCCTTGAAAAGACAGTTGATACAATTAGAAGCCAATTTGAGGGCTGCTCCTGTGATACATAGAGCCCTTCTTTAGGCAGAGCATCTGGCTTCCCAGCTGTATCCGCACTCAAGGCAGTGAGATCAGTTTAAGGGTGCATGTTGCTGTCTGGGTAATCTGACCATAGGATTAAGTCCTGCTGCACAGTCCCTGTCTGGCTCCCTGGGAGCTCAGGCCCCTCCCTAGGGAGCACTCAGCAGCTGAAAGACATTGTCTGTCTGCCGTCACACACCCCTGCTTCATGGAGAAGAAACACTCATGATGAAAACGCAGGGCTGGGGGTACGGCTTCGTGGTGCGCTTGCCTACCACACACAGAGTCCTGGGTGTGCTCCCCAGCACAGCAAAAAAGGAAAGCTCCAAAGCAGGAGCTGTGCTCCAAAGATAGCCAGCAGCAAGGTATATTAGCGACCTCAGAACCACCCAGTCCGTCCTAGGGATTAGAGGCACTGAGGCTCACACAACAGAAAAGTCCCATGTAAGAGGTAGGTTGTTATTTCCAGAGCTAGGTCTGAAACCTAGGACTTCTGACATACTGTGAAGATTCCTGAGAGTGTCTTTCCAGTCCTCTCTGTGCTTTTGGAGAAGGAAGCCAGAGACCAGGAAATGAAGATTATCAGGCTTTTAGGGGTAGGGGGCTGGTTGGATTTACCCTGCTCAGGCCACTGAGCTCCTGATCAGACTCCACGATGAATCTCAGAACCAGAGTGCTCCCAGACCTCTGCATGTCTGGGTGGTAAAATAGACTCCAGATTACAGTTTCTGGCACTAATCTGTAAGATGGGTAGGCTTACGAAGGTGGGGGGAGCAGTCGTGACCATGGATGGGCACATCACTGCAGACCACCTGCGTACTATCAAGGTCCTGAAAACACCTTATTAAAGAACCTAGTTCCCAAAACACTTGGTAGAGGAACAGTGACCCTGTCCTTCCTGCCAAAGGTCCTGCAGAGAAACCTAAGTCCCCTGACCCTGGCTCTGCTGACTTCAGTTTTATACATCTCTGCTAAGTGGAAGGAAGTCCCAAGTTAGCAGATGCATGAAAATGTCCCTTGATCTGTCGCAGATAGGGACATAAAGACTGAATATCCTCAGCGGGGTCCAGAGGTGGCTGGTCACCCTGCCCATCCCCATGATTCTCAGAAAGGACCCCAGGAACATGCATCTTCCCTGAATCAGTCGCTGTACCCCTTTTTCTCCCTTCATCTGAAAGAGATCCTTCATCAGGAGCCGCTGTCCGTACACTAGCCGCCACCTCAGTGACAGTGTTCTCAAGTCATGATGATAGAATTCTCAGCCCCAAGCCAAAACTTTCATTGGCTTCCCTGCCTTTCTCTGCAACCAGGAAGGGTTGTGTTTTTTGTTATTGTTGTTTTTTTGTTGTTTTTGTTTTTGTTTTTATGTCACATGCCACCTTCTCTACTAAACCTCAAGTGGCTTGGAATGAGTATCCACCAGCCAGGGGCTTCTAGAGCCCCTGAAGGACACTGAGGAGACTCTGGGCTGTAGAATGTCAAAGGTGGGGGATTCTCTCCTACAGAAGAGCATTATGCCTTCACATCCCACCAGGAATTGTAGTCTCTTTTTTCTTAAGAAGGTAGAGGAATGAGCAGTGACAGAACCACCTTGCAGCTAGAAATGCCCTACAAAGCATGCAGACGTTACACTGCTAAGCTTGGTGTCTTATTAGATCAAGTGGTGTGGTCGAATGGAGCTCAGCACTCAGGTCAGGCCTAGGACGTGACCCAGACAGTGATCTTGGCTTCCCTTGGGAACAAGGCATTCTGCCCTGCTGCTCCCGAGTATGGGAGTCTGATGGTTTCCCACCTGTTTTTCTCCTTCCTCTGCTGTCTCCCAGGGGTGGGGAACAGGGCGGTGGGGCTGTCTTTGGAAGCATTCCAGTGGAACGCCACTCCGGGTACTAATCACACTCAGTGGGGGCCTGCCACGGCTTCCGCTTCTCCACGCTGCTTCCTCTGAGTGCTCCTGTCCTCTCTCTGACGCTGCTTCCTGACCTTGACTCTGACCAGTCGCCGCGGGGCTTTCCTTTGTGCTTGATCTAACCATGTGGTGGAACGATGGAAACGGAACATGGTTCTGTCAAGCACCGCGGAAAGCACCGCGCTCTCCTGCAGCATGGCCCGCCACAGCCGCCGCCACCGCTGGACACTTCTCCTCTGCTCTGGAGCACCGCAGCCCACCACCTGCCAGACCCACCTCTCCCATCTCAACTTACAAAGGGCAGGAGGGTGGGAGTCTCAAGGGCTTCAGGCGCAGGGTGAAATGGGGATGGTGAAGCTCACTGGGGCCAGCTGCTATCTGTCTACATCGCCCTCCCAAAAGATGCCTCTGTCCCTCAGATCTAATCAGGATGTGGGCTAAGGAGGAACAGCTGGGTTCAAACCTTCCATTTGAAGAGAACAAGTATCCCCGAGGCACAGTCCCTATTGTCTCAAGGGAGAATCCCAGCCCTGGGGCATTTCCCCAAGTGGTAACTAACCCAAAGAGGAATCCATGCTACTGTGAGCGGTACCTCCACCTTACTGGTGTCCACTTCATTGGAAGTGCATGTG